CATTGTTTTCTCGTTTAGGGCACACGCTTTTTATTACTTGGGGACCATACGCCGCTTTTCATGGAATGACACTTACGTGTCACATTGAAGGTTCCATGATAACCGCCGTATGAACACATCTGCGGATGTTTCTAAATTCAAAATTTTACTTTTTCACGTTTAAATGTTGAATTCTGCTTAAGCCGGTGCTAGGGGGCGGGACGGTAGTTTGCACTTTACAGTACCGTCCATGAACAGGCTCAATCAAACCGAGCCGGCAACATTTTCAATTTTGCCGTGTTGGGCTTTCTTTAGGGATTCTGTATTTATCTATTTCTTTAGGGATTCTGTATTTTTCTATTTTTTGGAAAATGCGTGGTCGTATAAATTCGTGTAATTTTAAATGAAGCTTTATTTAAGCTCAAGCAGGTGATAGGGGCATGCGGGATGTTGCACGTTTTCATAATCCCTCATGTACATACTCACTCAAACCAAGTCTGCAATTCTCTCGTAATTTTGTTGTGATTTATGCTTCCAATGGATTATTATACTTCACAACAGCAAGTGTCAAGTGCTGTGTGGCAGCTGTAAAAAGTTTCCTCTTACTTCACTTCAGTGTTGTTACACTTTTCTGGTCCTTCGGGATCATTGATGCCAGCACTATTGAGTGTTGAGAATTGAGTATCGCTCAAGCCGGTGCTAGGGGGTGGGAGGGACGTTGCACATATTCATTATCCCTCATGTACAGACTCAATCAAACCGAGTCTACACTTCTCTTGTAATTTTGATGTGATTAATGCTTCCGAGGGACCACTTTGTTTCCAGATCATTTCATTTCGAATCAAGAAATGAAAGGAAAAATGTCGTTTCATATCAGTTATATATTGATACTTCCTGATTCATATCGGCAGGAGACATATCGCCAGCAGATTCAGTTAATGTATTTTCCATCAATATTGTCTTAGGATTGTGCATTTGTGCCAGCTTTGGTTTAAACGTATTTATTCAACAAAACACTAAATATACAAGTGAACAATATTTACAACGTACATTTTTTGATTGGGCAAAAAGGTATAAAGCTATATATAAGTGTCCCCTCCACAATTCTAAGGATTCATATGGAGCAGCATTTGGGTATTTACTCATTTGACTATTTGTTGTTTTCATTTGCTTAAGTTAAAATCATATTCCTACAAAGTGAGTGAATCAAAGTTCTTTACTATCCTTTCTTATTATGTTTATAGTAAAAAATTCTGGAAACAAAGTGATCCCTCAGAAGCATTAATCACAACAAAATAACATAAGAATTGCAGACTCGGTTTGATTGAGTCTGTACATGAGGGATAATGAATAAGTGCAACATCCCTCACGCCCCCTAGCACCGGCTTGAGCGGTACTCAATTCTCAACACTTTATAGTGTTGGCATCAATGATCCCGAAGGACCAGAAAATATAACAACACTGAAGTGAAGTACGGGGCAACTTTTTACGGCTGCCACACAGCAAGTTGTAATATTCTAAAGCCAATGCCAGTACTTCATCTTAATTCGTTTAATTTAATATTAGATACTAATATATTACTTTTTGTTATAAACATGTGCTATTTCCACTTATTTAAAAGAAAGTGTGTTTTCTCGAACTTGTTTCTTACAAATGTATTTGTGCAACTCTTATTCCCATTCCAGTCACACTGAAAATAAATGTGTACGTAGAGGCTATAAGAATTGATGTTATAGAGATTAATCCATATTCTAACTTTATGAAATTATTAACATTAAGCCACCTTAAGCGAAATAAAACTGACTCATTTCAATAAGAAGAGCTGCAGAACAAATAGAAACGAGAAACCACGTGATTACCATTTGCTTTCTGTATCCTAGCTGTAAAATTTTAGCACAAAATTTTAGTGATGGGGGATAACTCATGTATCGCTTCGGTATTTTCCGTTAGCACAAGGTGTGAGGATACAATGCTACTCGGCAATTTAATCCAAGTTTATAGGTAGTGTAAAATATGAAAAACAAGATCAACAAGGAAAGGCGGCGTTCAATGAACGCAACCCCCCCATGACCCAGCAACAAGAACCAATGGCAAGGAGCCCAGGCGGACCCCAAACATAAAAAGGACAGGGCAACGACACGTTAATCATTAAATGATAAATAATTTGTAACTGATTTGGAATTCAAAGAAAATAATAATAGGCCCACAAAGGGGAAGGGGACAGGAGACGGCGGGAAGGGGGGGGGGGGGGTTAATCAAAGAAATAAAAACTAGAGACAATGGGGAAGATACTTACCGTAGACGAGAAAACAACAAGGGGCAAAAGTGTCACCAAAACAGTATGAAACAACATAGACATACATCTGAGGAACACAGTGGGGCGCCGCCTTGGAACGGTCAGCAGCATAATAATGACTGCTGGGGAGTTTAAACCGGTTAATGGTGCACCAAACCTCGCTCTTAGCCCCACCATGTTCCTATAAACGAGACAGTGTAAATAAAATGAATCCCCGCCAAGTGAAATTCTAACAGTTGTCATGGTTACAAAAGGTAAAATAAGTAAAACACTAAAATGATCATGTAGAAACATATAAAAGTAAACCCAATGACCATAACAAAAGTACTCAATGTCCTAAAGGAAGACAGAGCAACAAGAAAATCACCTACAAGGGCCCGACGAAGCAAGGCAGAAGACAAACATTAAGACAATTCAGTCCCAAAGGCCACAACTTTGAATGGCCAGGTGAATTTCTTGGATATATTGAATATTCTGGATTTAACCTTTTAGCCCATGAGGATATTGTGGAAAATGGCAGTTTTCATTGAAAAGCCTCCTGTTACAAGGTCAAACTGCTATGAAACTATAAAAAAGATTCAATACTGATGAAACTTGGCACAAATGTTGACTGGACCATGCCCTCTGTAACATCATTCTCAATTGTAAATTTTCTGTTACCATGGCAACGTGGAACGTCTCAAAATCACTATTTTGCATTGTTTTTTTCCATCAAAATTGATTTCAAAGTGCTGCAACTATTCAATGAATTAAGATAAAGTAAAAGGCTTTTCAGCGTTAGTTACTAGACACCCTGAGATCAACCTGAGGCCTGTCACATGTCAAAAAAAATGTCTTGGCGATGAGTGGGGGGGGGGGGCTACCGCAGAAAAGTGATCAGTTTTTAACAACATTTTTCAAATGAAAAACAGTGTTGGGGGATTAAATAGGGCATTTTTACAATGTTAGAGGCCTCAAAAAGGAGGGGGGCATAAAGCCGTCAAAAAACGTCTATATAAGGGAGAAGGTTAAATGACTGGTTGTCTTTGAAGTGCATTTTCAGCTTTTGTGACATATAATATGATCCCTTGCAAATTCGAAAACATAGCCAGAAATAACATGCTGTTGACTATAGATGTCAAGGCTGCAATTTTTGGTAAACATTGCTTTTAAACAGCATGCTAGGTAAAAACAAGTCATTTTTGAAGGGGATACAAACTATAAGCAGTATTAAAAATCTACAAGGTTGAGCACCAGTTTCATTGTGATATTTTGCATGTAAACGAAGTTGCTAAAGCAGAGACGGTGTTCCTTTAGCATGTATAGTTGCAGGTCTTTTTGCCGGAGGAAAGAAATGTGTTGTTTTGGCCACTGTAGATTTTGGACTTCAACGGAATGAATTGCAACTTTTTTGACTGACTGACTATTGCATATTGAATGATTTCTTTGTAGATTTGCAATCTTATGTCATATATGTTCTCAACAAAATGTGTTTTCTTTTTCCAGGTTGTGTAGTTTGGTATCAGAATTATTAGACGTATTGCTTGTAGGACATTGACGGCAGAAACTTGAAATTAACTGTGGAGTGCTACCCTGGATTTCGTGGATTTTTTTAAAGAGAATATTTCAACGGTTACACCGTCAGAAATAACGGACTTTTACGGAAATATTGGTTCCCGGCAAGATGTATAAATCTAAATTTCAAAGTAGTTTCGTATTCGTGTTTCGTCTAGGTGCATTTGTATAGATTTTATTTCATTGTTATGTAACCCACTTTGTATTCTTAAAAGGAGGGACGTTCAAGATCATTAGTTAAAACTTAAATTTTTCAAATTGAAAAGGAAGAAGTATGCAACATAATATCTAATCACGTAGTTTAAACAAGAAGTAGAAACAATTGATCCTTACATTCTGCAGTAACTGTATCAAAATACAAAATGTTTATCTGGCAATTAAAAAGTAGCAATTAAACTTGTTTAAATCAATATAAATTTATATGATTATAGATAAGAATTTATTGAATACGAATATAAATTAGATAAATAGACATTGAAAGATAAACAGCGAATAAATACCCAAATTCTGCTCCATAGATACAAGGGTGAACTAAATCGTGTATCAAGAGACTCAAGTCGAATTAAGAAATTCATTTTTTATTTCGTTTCATAAAAAAGTCTAATGGAAACAACAGTTGTGTTTTCTTTTTTTAATGAACTTGCCAGCGTTTCTTTTACCAATTCATCATCGAAAAAAAACTAATATAAACCTTTTTTTCTATGACTCACTTTGACTTTATTCGCATTCTGATCAGGATCCATGTTGTGCGCTATCAGTTTCTCTACTTGTTATATGGTGTTTAAGTGAACAGCATGGATCCTGATCAGACTGCGCGGATGCGCAGGCTGGTCTTTTATTTAGTTTTCGCCCATTGTTTTCTCGTTTAGGGCACACGCATTTTTTTACTTGGGGACCATATGCCGCTTTTCATGGAATGGCACTAACGTGTCACATTGAAGGTTCCATGATAACCGCCATATGAACACATCTGCGGATGTTTCAAAATTCTAAATTTTACCAGTTCATGTTAAATGTTGAATTCTGCTTAAGCCGGTGCTAGGGGGCGTGGGCGGTAGTTTGCACTCGACAGTACCGTCCATGAACAGGCTCAATCAAACCGAGCCTGCAACATTTTCAATATTGCCGCGTTGGGCTTTCTTTAGGGATTCTTATTTCACTCTATTTGATCCATGCTGGTCGTAAACCCATTATGTTGGTTTTGACGTGACGCAGCTAATTAGTGTCTCGTGTGAAGAATTCATGGGTTTTTAGTCTTTTATTCAAGTACTGATGTTGTTTTATCGTGGACTCACATTAGCGTTATCATTAGCTCAAATTATTTTTAATAAAGGTCTCATGTAAGAATAATATATGCTTCGTGTTACCTTTAGTATGCCCGATATCTTTATCTATGGCTACTTGTAGCATTATCTACGTCTCATAAGATCTTAGCTTTACCTTGTGTTCAAGTAAGAACATTAGTAAATGTAAAAAGACATTATATAATATTTCGATAGTATGAAATTTTAAAGATATTTAACACAAACAATGTCTCATAAGTTGTACATTTACTTTGTATCAACAACAGGGACTCTGACTAAATAATATCACCATGACCTTTCAGAAAAAATTACTTTTAATTGGATATATAATTACATCAATTCCCAGTACCTAGGTTCAAATGCCATCTTAGGTAAATAAACAACACCCATTCTATTAGAACGTACTTTATTATTTATATAATTTCAATATTTGATGAAATTGCATGGTTTGAATCAATTCATTTTTGAAAAGCATGAAACAACCAATAAACGATTGATTGCGAGTACATCTTGTTAAATTCTTTTTCCTGGTAAGCTCCTTTGTTAATCTGAAAGAGAAGAAAAGCATTTATTTTATCCACAGAATCATTGTGAATAACCATGTTATTTCCTTTGTATACCGAAAAGATCTTTAAAGTTACTTTATGATTTTATTTTGAAATTAAATATTATTTATTTCTTTTGAGTTTGGTTAATTATTTATAGTGTTTATATCAACAAACTAACTAAGCTGTCGATACACCTAAACAAATAAAGAATAACTTTGACAGTGTTCGTTAACATTTATAAGACACTGGACTTTATGCATAAAACTCCGACAACAAACGTAAAGATGAACAATTTCCTAGGTTATAAAACAAACGATATTTATTTGTGTCATGGTAATAAACCGTTCACTTACTGTCAACCGCGAAACCTCATTGGTAAAAATTCAAAACAGTAAGCTGAGGTTCCGGGATTTCTATCCTTGATCTAAAAATGATTCTGTGTGACACTTTATAATTACAGCAATAAAAGAACGCTACAGAATATCTTATTTAAGTCATTTGTTATTTCAACAAATGAAAAAAAAAGTAATTATTATTAAGATTTTACTCACAGAGTGACATTTCGCACACATACTCCTTTGTGTTTCCACATCCAAATGCAGCCCAAAAGTCAGTGTTAAGAAAGTAGACACAATCTTCGTTAGGACTATTATAGTCAATCTTATGGCCTATTATGTATTTGTCAAATAATGTTCTTGAATATTCCCACACAAATGTACCTTCCTCATTTATATCGTTCATTCCCATCCAAAAATCTGAAAAATAGTATTTTATAATCTAATAATTTATAAATGTACGATTTTGTTTCTAAAGATATCAAACTTTAAAAAATTACGCAATTACCTCGATTTTTTATGTGAAACAAGAAGCATTTACAGACTGTAAAATCTTCCGTCGAACAGAAAAAGTGTTATAAAAAGAGGATTCTTCATTGGCACCGACTGACATTTAAAATAAAAAAGAGGTTTGTGATAATAACTCATTTTTTTGCTAAAAGTGAAACACTTATAAAAGAGGAATAACTCCGAAACCGTAAAAGGGTGGAGTTGTCATTCCGATTTACTGCATTTCTCTTCAAGACATCTGGCTTTATATCCATTTATCATGCTAATGTGTATAGTTAGTCATAGGTACATCGGAAGCAAGCGCAGTTTGCATTTTTAGGTGATGCATTAAAATTCTAAGAGTTACAAATGATAACAAAGCGTATATTTAATCAACAATTTATATAAAACATTCACCGAAAAGACCCGTGTGCTCGTATAGATTTGATAATTTGTACCTATATCTATATTAACTGATCCATAAAGTTCATATATACTACCCTACTTTTGCTAAGCACCATATGTTTGAGTGTATTTTTGGGGGGCAAATTTTATTAACGCCGTGCGAAAGGTTTGAAATGTTGATTTACTGTGTTATCAATTTAGCTTAAAAACGAATTTAACCCTATAAATAAGATTTACACTGATTTTCTGCTAAAGAAGAGGATGACCCGCTCTCTGAAGATTTAAGCATATGCAGCGTGTTTTTCAAATTTAGTAAATTGTCCCTATTATAGTTTTGATGGTTCTAAGGGATATGGCTACCCATTCTCTATATAGCACACCCAGGTCGGCTTGCCCATTCCAGCTTATTCCTCCCAAAACAATAACTTGCTTCTTAGCGGTCATTATAAGCGATAGTTGCAGTCTGAAACCATTCAAGACTCTAGCACGAGGTATGTGAGGTCTATACAGAACCTAGACTCATCAGTGAACAGAAATTGTCTACAGTGTTGCATTATCCACGTCTATGCTCCATGGTCCAATCCAAACATGCCAGGCGACGTCGTTGCGTCAGGAAGAAACGTACGCACGGTCTTCTTGGCCATTAATTACCCTCATGCAGCTTTCTACGTACGGTCTGCGTGGAAATACGGACACCCTCAGCATTAGCTTTCATTTCGAAAAGAATTCGTTGTTGAAAACCTTACAGACGTGTCTGAACGACCAAAAACCGGTCCTGAGCTGGTTCTGTGACGCTTTGCCGACCTCCAGCATTCCTCCTGGCGAGTGTACCATCTAGCCGGTATCTCTCCAAGGCTTTGGTGATGTCGGTTTGGTGTATACTACACTAAGCGCTGCATCAACCTAACGGAAGGTGGCCACCCTGTTGCACCATCCCTTTAGCCCTCCACAACTGTGCTTCTCTCAAATGCCACCAAATGTTAGCATTCGCCATATCAAATTGACAGATCTAAGATATGTTTTTGTTTGTGTTTGTTTTGGGTTTTACGTCACATCGACACAGTATAGGTCATATCGCGACGTTCCAGCTTTACTGGTGGAGGAAGACCTCAGGTGCCCTTCTGTGCATTATTTCAGGCACGAACGGGTACCTGAGTAGAACCACCGATGTTCCGTAAGCTAGCTGGATAGCTTCCTCACATGAAAGAATCCAAAGACCTTGTCGGGATTCGAACCCACAGCGGTGAGGGGCAAGTGGTTTGAAGTCAACAACCTTAACCACTCGGCCACGGACGCCAAGATATGTAAGCCACTACATGACAATAGGCGGGTAATCTCGCCGTATAACAAAAGACATGTGATTTTAAACATAATAACACATAAAAATATTAGGTTGCATGCTTTCAATGTTACCAAGACGAGATGTAACGGATAATTCAATACGAATAAATTTGGGGACTATCTCAAAACATTGTGCTATCAGTATTTTCCAAAATTGGAATGAAATCTGTTTTAAACTTTTATATAAAATGTCACTAATGGTGCTTAGCAAAAATAGTTTATAATATAGTATAGAAAGTATATAATCACACAAAGAAAAACGGATGAACGCATGGAAGGGGATTATTTTCATTTCCCTCGCCATCTTTTCTGTGCGGGAAAACATGCTTTTTTCTCAAATTAATACACATTTCTTTGTTCATACATTTTCTCGTAGAAACCAGTATATGGACATGAAGGTGTTAATATGGCTTAGAAATTTAATCTTATCTTTCTAGAAAGGTATATAATTAAATTCAACACGCCTTTCATGTAAATGTAAAGGTAATTGTTTTTGTGGTGGTTTTATTTTGTAAGAAAAAAAATTTCAATATCTATATTGTTCATTGTAAGCTGACACTTTTGTTATATTATTTTGCCTTTTAGAGAGTCAAACAAATAGATTTAAAACAAAAACATATACTTTATACATTGGTAACTCAATATATATCTCACAGTGTTTACATTGTTTTTGTCACTGAAGTAAATACACATAAAGATATTAATTATACATTTTTTTTGTAATAAAATCTAAGTTTATTTTTCTTTGTAAAACTATTAACTAGATTACATATGACTTTATAGGTACTTTCGTTGTTAGCAAAAGATATGTTCGGTCTTCAAGTCTTTCTAAATGAAATGTATGATTATAGACACGAGTGTACGGCGCGTAGACAATTCCGTAACAAGTCAAAGGCCATCCCCAAGACCCCCTTTTAAAACAATGAAGTTAAAAAAAATACGTGAATGAAATTTTCTAAATCACAATTAATATGATTGGTATATCACATATCACTATAAAAATATACTATAAATTTATATCAAGGAATACAACTATCCACTGACTGTTCCCTGCCTCGATCGGCATAACGTCATCATGCTTAAAAATATTAAAAAATATGACTGTTTCTAGAAAAAGACTGTCATTAAATAATCTTTGGTTTTCATAAAATGTTATATATTAGATCGCTCGAAAGTGTCCTTATGAACAGTTCTGATTGCATTATTGTAAAAATGCCAAACTTGAGCTACAAGTGCTTGAAGATTTTGAATGGACCTATCAGATATCCAAAATAAAACTTTATAGCAAATCTTTGCTACTTTTAATCTTAAACGTCAAATCAATTCGAACGTATATATTTGTATTAAGACAACTTACTGGTTAGTGCAAAGGGTTCATTCCAGTGAGATGCGTGTGTGCAGGGACGGGACTTGCTTGTGCGTCTTTTTTCCGACGTTTAAAACTTGGTATGTTATATTTTTTAAGAATGTGTTATTGGTAAAATACACAAAATGAACCAAACAACTAAGGAAAATCGCCATATGCTCTTTATTGTGTTGCTGTGACGTATACTCAAATAAAAAATAAAATAAAAACCTGGTCCTTCTAAATACTATACTGTAATAACGCTTTACTTACACTTAACATCGAGCTCCGTCTTAACAAAATTGTTTTCAGAGGTAGAGGTGATTTCAACAAGGTATCCATCTTTTGATTCGCAATCATTCTGCAGGAGAAAAATCAACTCCATATATTTATTAGTTTAAATAAACATGTATGTGTCCTATTATAGTTTAGTACGGACGTTTGACGTCACTACTTGTGATCCATTTTGTTTCTTTTTCTATCGTTTTTTGCGAGTGTTTTTGCCAAGAACAATAATGCAAAGTAGCTTCAAATGTATAGAACTTGTGTCATCTATTTGATACATGAAGTTATCTCTTAATGAAGATATAACTAATTACTATTTAATTTTGCTGAAAACCAAAATGTCATTATTCGGAATTGTGACCGAGACGGAATGATATATCATTGTTGATGCATTATCAAACTGAAATTTTTGTTGTTTTTTTTGATGTCATTGAAAACAAATCTGCTTCATTTTAAGTGTTCTCATTCAAATGTTTCGCTTCTTTTTTAATTATTACATTACTCATAAATTAACGGTCAGCCTTGTGATTTATGTGCTACAGGAATTGTAAGTACGTTCCTTGTATAGCCGAAGCAATTGATTTTTCATGATAGTTTCCATCATCTTAGATTTCATCAAAATGATAGAAAAGTTAGTTTATAAACTGAACTAAGCTTTGTCATTCATCACTGGCTTCATTCACTGCATAAGTACAGGATCGTTAAGTACGAATGTCAAATTCCTTAATATGTTTCACAAATTTCAGCGCATCTGTCACAAAGTGGCATTCCGAGATTTTCGTCCGTTGTCCGTCCGTAAACTTTTACTTTAAACAACACCAACTCATAATCCGCTAAGCCAATTTCATCCAAACTTCAAAGGAATGATTATTTGGTGGTCTTTAAAATTGTTCAAAGAATTTTATTCCATACAGAAATAGGAGTTCAATGGTAAAAAACTTTAAATAATTTCTTAAAAAAAAAAAAAAAACAATATGGAACTAGAGGTTAGATAGATGTGGTCAAAATTGCTTCGCCTTGGGAGGTCATTGATTTTCCTTATATTTATTCAGTAAGAATTTAAAAAAAACTCTTTTGGAAAACACAAAGAGCTTGAGCTTAGATAGTAAGCATGAAACATCTTCTAATAGGTGTCTACCAAGTTTGTTTAAATAAAAAAACCTGTGGTTAACAATGGCCCCGACCAAATGGTTATTAATTTTCCCTTAATGTATGAAGTGAAATCTTAAAACAATATTCTCTGAGCAACATTGTAAAGCAAAGATATTTAGCATGAAACATGAGAATTTTTATATTCAGGTAAGCGATTTCAGTGCAGTCATGGCACTCTTGTTTAAAGTTTGAAAAGAAATGATATATGGAATTTAAATGATTTGCCTTAAATGGGAGTTGTTTCATAACGATTTGAAGATACGTTTTGCCCACTTAAAAACATTATGAAAAACTATTTTAAATAGCAAAACATTAAAAAACTTATAAAAATATGTTAATGTACCTAATTACAGAAAGCGACATTTATAATTAAAAATAACAAGCAATTATCATAGAATTGCACGCAATCCATAAGTCCCCTACCGGTCAGAACCCCAGCAACATTCTGATGGGCCATTGACCATTAAATTATACCATTGAATGAATGAATGACAACAATGAGCTTATATCTTTTGAGTTCAAATTTTGTCTATATCATAGTAATGTGTTACATTCCCTGCCAAGTAAGGAAATTATTTTAACAGACAACAGATAATGAAAAGTGATTTATGAGTTTATCAAATGTTTCAACTTTTCTCTATTTTAAGTAAATTTGTTGGAAAAAATCTCGTCATTTTATTATGATATAGGAGTTTGAAGTAAATCCTAAAAGGAATAAAGATGTTGGAAGTAAAAAAATACCAATTTCTCAAAAAAGATCAAGGGGGGGGGAGGGGGCATAATTCTGAAAATAGTCTTGCAAGAGTATTATATACCTTCTCACATATGTTGAGTGATAATAAGAAACATACATATGAAGTTTGAAGCAAATATATAAAGAAATAAAATGTTTAAAAATAAAAAAAAATAAAAACATTTTTTTATGAACATTCTTAGTTAAAGGGAGATAGATGGTGCGAGAGTTGTAAACCTATCACATATGATGTGGTTGATGACCAGAAACTAATATTAAAAGTTTGAAGTAATTACCTTAAGAAATAAAGAGTTATAGTAAAAACTGGAATCAGAAATCTTGAAATTCAGTGTATTTGTTGCCATAGCAATCAGACTTTTCAGCAAACGAAGTAAACAAAATGCATTATCTCCAGACTGCCATCTACCCATATCTCAAGTTTCATAAAAACATTTTCAGTACTTTTAACGTTATCACTGGGTCCAGTTTATATGTGAAATTTGCCATGTTTTCAGTCTATTTGTTGCCATAGCAACCAGAATTTTCAACGTAGGAAGAAAAAAAGACGTGCATAATATCCATACTGCAATATCTCCATATATCAAGTTTCATAAAAATATTTTCAAGCTATCGCGGGATCAAGTTTTGTGGTCGGACAGACTGACAGACGGATATTCTAACAGGAGAGTAATAATGTGGCTACTCAAATGTTCTCTCTATTGTTCTTTTTAGCCACACAAACGAAAATAGCCACATGAAGGCATACAGAATGAATGACATCAAGTACCTATTGTCCCTCTAGCCACATAATTACTTTCCTGTGAGTGCGGATGTACCAACTTTTGACATTTATGATGCAAATCAGCTCATAAACACCACCTGGACCAACGTCAATAAGCAAAATTAGCTCATAAAACAAGAAAATAGCTCTTAATTCGAATTTTATGAGCTTTTGTTCTTTATTTAACTACGGAATGAAGCTCATAAATATCAAATGTTTGCTCGGACAGACAGACGGACGGAGTGTAAACCTAAAGTCCCCTCCGGTTAAACCGGTAGGCGAAACAGTCATTTATATAGCCAAACAACTTGTTTATGGAAACATGTATCTAGTAATTAATTACAGTACTACAATTTCTTTGGTTGAATTAACGTTTGCGCTAGAAAATCTTATCAGTGTTTTTCAAGATACATCTTTGTTTGCACTTAAATTTTATTTTCGTCTGTAAAAATGCTACAGCGATAGAAGATATGGTTGTTTTTATCAGAAAGAAATATATAGCAAAATTATTGACTTAATATGATATGATTATATATCTAAAGCACTGCTTGATAAATAATATGTAATAGTCGTCGTATGTTATTATTAACAAAATACTGACCGTTATCATATTTTTTAAACACTTATTTCAAACATTATCTTTCTAAATATGTTAAATTAAGCAAACACATTTCATCCTTCAAACTGATTACACCACTAAAGTAAAATTGCACCAACGTACATAAATACTGTTTTGCATGGAATATACGTTCTTATATTCATATTGGGAGCCAGTGTTTCTATAAAATCTGTTGTAGATGGAGTAAATTATCAGTTGGACGAAATGCTAAACAGTATGGGATAATAAAAGAAATAATATTACTTTGGCATTTTCCCATGTCGCCTTTGTGAATACACCCAGATAACAATTATTTTCAAATCTGATCCATCCTCCAGGACATTCAGGACCTAAAAGTAAACATATAACAACAAAATAACACAGAGAGTATTATTAAGGTTGGTGAAGAATAACAATGAGATACACAATTATTATGAGCAGTAAGGCGTGAGTCTTTACAACCATATTATCAAACACTTTATAAATCATTTGAAACAAAAGGTATTAATAGTTTTTTACGGTGCTAAATTTGTATTACATCAAATACATTTACATATATCAGCTAAAGTTTTTAAGACTTTATAAAGGACAAAATAATGTCAATTATTAATATACATTTAACATTTAATTTAATAGTTAATCAATAAATTAATATTTAGTAGAAAATCACGAAGAAAAAATTAACAGAAATAGGTAAAGTATTCAGCGTCATAGTACAGATGACCTTCGATCATGTGGCCTATGCAAACACGACTTGAATTTGTCATACATTAAGTGCACTTTAAGCAAAAGAAAAATAAAATTGCAAACTATGCGAACGTGTGAAAATTGATGAAAATATTTGAAAGTTGCGTAATAAACTATTCTTATATTATTGAGAGAACTTCCAATCAAATAATATGTTACATATCGGTAATGGTGTTTGGGAAACAATAATCATGTTAAAGATCACTGTGAGCTTCAACTTTTAACGTCAAGGACCAAAAAAAACACTATATTTTATCTGTAGCGTTATTCTATCATGAAGTTGTATTTCCCTGTCCAGATTTTAATTCTTTAATGTTTTCGGAGAGGTTCATTTTTGAATAGCTAAATATAAACCTTAATAATACAGGGAAGGCAAAGGGTGGGTCCGCGAAGCAGGGCTTAGCTATAGCTTGCACGGCCATAGACTACATAGAGGATATTCAAGTTTTTTCTATAAATACATGATTTATTTTCATCGAGTGGTATGAAAATAAATATTTCATGAGTGGCGGTAGCCACGAGTGAAATATGGTAATTTTCATGCCACAAGATGAAAATAAATCATGTATTTATATAGAAAAAACTTGAATTTTCTGTTTATTATATACATTTTTCTCTTTTTTTGCGATAAAATTTGAAAGACTTTCCCTTAAATTCTGTGTACTGGCAGAATTTAAAAGAAAGAAGTCCGACGAGACACCAGTGAAAAACGGAAAATATGTTTCACTGCAGTGAAAAATAAATTTTTACAGTGAAAATACGGAAAATGAAAATATGCATTTTATTTCATCAATATTTCTCAATATTTCATTAATAAGTTTATAATAAACGTTAAAATTTAATAAAGTTAACAATCAAATAAAAAAATATTAAACAATTCAAAAATATAAAGATTTTTAAATCAATGAAATGTTCAGTGTCATATTTAGTTGGGCGCCGACATTTTTTAATAAACACTATTATAATAGGCAGAGTATTCCGATAACGGAACAATCGCAACTTTTCGACTTAAAAATAACCGTCGAGGTGTTCCGAGTGAAAACATAATTGGTGCATTATATACCGAATGACACCTTTTAAACGGAATATGTTTAGTAACAATGAAAGATTTTTGTAACCGACCTTCCCACTCAAAGTCTTTTCCAAATTTTATATTTATTAACGTAAGACAAATTAACAAATGACATAATGTAAAGGTGATAATAAAAAATAATCACATATTGTGTAAAATATCTAAAAGGAAATACGGTGTAATTTTTTATCTTTTTCAAATATTCTGTACAGTAATAAATATAACTCATTTATAACTCATTAAACGTCGGGGATTACATTGCAGTAAAAATATACATAACACATTTATTGACAAAAGTTTTGAATAATAACAAAGATGGAAATTGAGAAATATTGAAATTGACCTTTAAGAGAACAATTCAGTGGTGTTTCCCAACTGCCAGTGTCAAGGCAGCTTATTGTACCGTTTCCCTCATATCCACTATCACAGACAAGAGAAGCGGTTGATCCAAACGTTGTTGCGTCAAAGTGCAACTTACCATTGGTCACATTTAATGGAGACCCACAGTCTGAAAAATGTGAAAAATGGTTAAATTGAAAAGTTACATTTAAAAATTATATCTCGACGTTAAACATAAGCGGAAAAGAGGTTAATATTTAACTTCATTGTAACAACCGTTTTTTTTTTTTGTTTCAAAAGGTGTCATCAACAGACATAGTTTTATACACTTTAATTTATATTCAAAATGTTATATAAACACGTCAAAAGGTATACAGAAAAGCTTGTTAGGTTTCAAAAATGACGAATTACATCATTTTTTTTAACAGGATCCACTGTTTCCTATTGTACCCATAGCCACATAAAAAAAACAAATTGTTAGCGCGCACGTACTGACACAGGACGACCAAAAGTATAAAATCATAATAAATCACACAGGACGACAAATGCTAAAAAATCATAATAAATCACAATAAAGCAGCACACCTCCAAATTGATGCTAATTTTCGTGAATCTTTGAAAGTGTGTTTAAAATAATTATTTAGTAAATTAACCCAAAGCAAGCAATAAGTATTAAAACATTATCAAAGGCACAAACAACCCCCGTCAATTACTAAAAAGAGAACAAAATATGCAAAAATGGCTCTTACTGCGTTAGTAACGCAGTAGAAATGTAGTCATAAATACTTAAAAATCAGTCATTTATCGCACATTACATGTAAATTATTACTTGAATCTTGAATAGTTTTACTTTTCAAAAATCTTAGTACATTTTGCTCAGTTTTGATTTTATTGAAATATTTTCGCTCATCTGGAGGCATGCAGCTTTAATAATATCTGTCATATGTTGCGGTTCGGACCGGAATATCCGTCCCAAGGGGACCCGCACATTGGGCGGTAACGAGGCTTGCCGAGTTATTGCCCATGGACGGTGTTCCCGAGGCACGGATATTCCGATCCGAACCGCAAACATATGTCAGATATTTTTTCTTGCATTGTCTGCCATATTATTTCATATTTTAGATAGTTTACCTAAATGCGATATATGTTCATGGAAATTAAAGTCATTTCATCCATAACTATGTTCTTACTATAACTTATGAACTTACAACTTAAATAACAACGGCGAAATGACGTCATCATAAACACATATTTCCATTCTAAAACGACGTCATTTTAACGCGGTTCAATCATAAAGTGCGCTAAAATGACGTTGTTGTTGGGCACGCGACTCATCTGGCACCCCCATGCCAGACGAAATTTTCGACATGGGTAAAACTAGCGGAAACCCCAGTCTGCTATGCAAGAACAACAATTTTGTTCTTTGTTGAGCTACAAATGTGATCGAAATATGCTCTGGTCAACTAAAATAATACATTGACAATCTTTTGATATTTGAGCGAGACACTTAGGGGTCGATTGATTAATATATAACATATTTGTAAGGAAATAGGAGGAAACATATATTTTGTATAAGGTCCCTGGTACATTTAATCTTAAACGTCATGAAACAGAATCAATTTTTATCAGTAGCGTTATTCTACTATGATATTGTATGTTTCCGTGCAGATTTTAATTTTTTAGCGTTGTCCTAGCGGTACATCTTTTAAATAGATATACATATTATATTTAAAATTAGAAAAAATAACATAAGACAAGTATTGGATGAAAAATATATAAAAGAGATATACAAAATAATTACCCCTCACTTTTTTCGTAATGCTAATTTCCCATAGGCCTTTTGGACTTATTTTGACTGTTAAATGCAGGTGAACCACGTGACTAAGAATTTTGTACTGTTACTTAAGAAACAGTATTTTCAACAGTATAAAATCTGGTCACGTGGTCTATTTTCTAAATAAAATGGCCGCAATTTTTCTCTCGATTCATTCTTATTTTCGACGTTAAACCCCGATAGGACATCAATTTCTTCTCAGGAGTTGCTATGACACTCATAACATATAGTTGTTCGCACCCTGGTGTGCTTTTCGCGTTTAAAATATCTTTTTGTTGAATAGTCAAAAAGTGAACATCCGTTTTCAACGGAAGTAATTGCAATGTAAATAACTATGAGTCAAACTGGAACATGCAGACGATTTAAGCATACAACAATAAATTATTTAAAAATTTTAATCAGTGAAACGTTACAGATATGGTGAACAGACATAGGATATACATGTAATCGTTATTTTGTCAAAAACCATGCTAGGACTATTCTGGAAACAGAAGGATCAGATTTTACAGATCATAACTGTGTAAATGGGTTAGTGTTGTGTTTTCTAAATAAAACCTAGCTTATCGTATGTTTATGATTTGAAGATATCATCACTCGCTTAAAGAATAAAAGAAAAAGAAAACTTCTCAAGTAGGCATAAGGTACACTTTAAACTTAAAGGTAAGGACTGTTTAGTTATTGTTACTCTTGGACTTGGTTTATTTTTGTTACAGTTAGATTTAGTTGACAGTTTCAGATCATCAAAGTATTTTTGTTCCGGGTGATAAAATGAATAACACATGAGTTTGGGAGTAACAGTAAAAATATCATCCCTCGTAAAAATAATGTCACCCTCTGCTACGCCTCGGGTAACTTTATTTCTCTCGGGATGATATTTTTACTGTAACCCACAAACCCATGTGTTATTTATATAATAACATAATGTGTACAATATCTATAAGTTAATAAGGAAACAGATCTTTTACAAATCACCAATATAGTAACAAGTAAAATACATTTATAAATCATTAACGTTCGGGCTAACATTGTACTTAAATGTATATAACCAATGTATTGACAAAATGTCTTAATATTAAACAAAGTTTGAAATTGATAAATGTCAAATTTGACCTTTGATAGAACATCTTGGTGGTGTTTCCCAACTGCCAGTGTCAAGGCAGCTTATTGTCCCGTTCCCATCATATCCTCTATCACAGACTAGAGAAGCGATTGATCCAAACGTTGTTGCGTCATAGTGCAAGTTACCATTGGTTACATTTAATGGAGACCCACAGTCTGAATAATGGTTAAATTCATAAGATACATTTAAAATTGGTATCATGACGTTAAACATAGGTGGGAAAATGGTTTATATTCATTGTAACGATAAACTAGGATACATAGAATGAAATAATTCCTCAGTATATTATATTGACAGCGAGTGGCGAATGCGTGAAACTATCGCCCAATTACCACAGAATAGCTTCTAAATTTTGTTTTGCAAAAATCATTATTTTATCTGTAGCGTTCTCTTATCATAAAGTTGTATTCCCTGTTCAAGATTTTAATTCTTAAGCGTTGTCCAAGAGGTACATTTCTGAATAAATACATATAAAACTTTAATAATACGGGAAACTAAAGACCGTGTCAGCGAAGCGGATCCTGACTTTGCCTTACCCGTCTATAGACGTGTAGAGCTAAATAAAATCAAATTAAAAAACAACAATTCAAAAATCTATAGATTTTCAAATCAGTGAAACTTTCAGTTTCATATCTTGTTAAACGCCGCCATTTTCAATGTTATACTATAATGAAAGTCAGGGTATTCCGATAACGGGACGATCGCAGATTTTTAGCTTAAAAATAATCATCAAGGTGTTTCGAGTGTAAACAGAAGTGGTGCATGAAATACCGAATGACAGCTTTAAAACAAGAACTGTTGAGTAAAATATGACCGATTTTAAACCGATTTTCCCGCTCATAGGCTTTGCAAAATGTCTTAAAGTAAGAACAGTATAGAATGACACAATATAAATATGATAACAAAAACTCATATTGTATAAAATACCATAAAGTAATACGATATAATCTTTAATAGATCGTTTTTCGATAGTCTATACAGTTATACATATAACTCATTAAAGTGCGGCATATTTTATTGTAGTAAAAAATACATTACTTATGTATTGACAAAAGTTCTAAAAATTAGACAAAGATTCAAAATGATAAAAATTAAAATTGACCTTTAATAGAACATCTTGGTGGTTCCCAACTGCCAGTGTCAAGGCAGCTTATTGACCCGTTTCCATCATATCCTCTATCACAGACCAGAGAAGCGATTGATCCAAACGTTGTTGCGTCATAGTGCAAATTACCATTGGTCACGTTTAATGGAGACCCACAGTCTGAATAATGGTTAAATTCATTAGATACATTTAAAATTGATATCATAACGTTACACATAGGTGGGGAAATGGTTTATACTTATTGTAACGATTAAATAGAATACCTAGAATGAAAGAATTCCTCAGTATATTTTATTGACAACGAGTGGTGCATGCGTGAAACTATCGCCCAATTTACTAAGAATAGCTTCTTAAAATTCTGTTTCAAAACACCATTATTTTATCTGTAGCGTTCTCTTAACATGAAGTTGTATTTATGTTCAGAATTTCAATTCTGAACAGTTGTCCAAGTGGTACATTTCTGAATGGCTACATATAAAACTCTAATAATACGAGAAACCAAAAGCCGTGTCCGTGAAGCGGATCCTGACTTTGCCTTACCCGTCTATAGACATGTAGAGCTAAGAAAAAATCAAATAAAAAACAACAATTTAAAAATCTATAGATTTTCAAATCAGTGAAATTTTCAGTTTCATATCTAGTTGGACGCCGCCATTTTCAATGTAACACTATGATAAAAGGCAGAGTATTCCGATAATGGAACGATCGCAGCTTTTTGGCTTAAAAATAGTCGTCAAGGTGTTTCGAGTGAAAACCGAAGTGGTGCATGAAATATCGAAAGACAGCTTTAAAATGGAAATGAAAAGTAAAATATGAACGATTTTTTAACCGATTTTCCCGATTATAGGCTTTGCAAAATTTCTTATTAAAGTAAGAACATGATAGAATGACACAATATGAAGATGATAATGAAAAACACATATTGTGTTAAACAAACCAGTTAAGTAATACAGTGTAATCTTTAATAGATCGTTTTTAGATAGTCTATACAGTTATACATATAACTCATTAACGTGCAGCATATGTTATTGTAGTAAAAATACATTACTTATGTATTGACAAAAGTTCTTAATATTAAACAAAGTTTGAAATTGATAAAAATTAAAACTGACCTTTAATAGAACATCTTGGTGGTGTTTCCCAACTGCCAGTGTCAAGGCAGCTTATTGTACCGTTTCCCTCATATCCATTATCACAGACCAGAGAAGCGATTGATCCAAACGTTGTTGCGTCATAGTGCAACTTACCATTGGTCACGTTTAATGGAGACCCACAGTCTGAATAATGGTTAAATTCATTAGATACATTTAAAATTGATATCATGACGTTAAACATAGCTGGGGAAAGGGTTTACATTCATTGTAACGATACACTAGAATAATCAAAAGAAAATCAAATAAAAAAGAACAATTCAAAATCTAAAGATTTTCAAATCAGTGAAACTTTCAGTTTATATTTAGTCGGGCGCCGCCATTTTCAATGTAACACTATGATATGAGGCGGGGTATTCCGATAACGGGACAATCGGAGCTTTTTGGCTTAAAAGGAATCGTCCAGGTATTTTGAGTGAAAACAGAAGTGGTGCATGAAATACCGAATGACAGCTTTAAAACAGAAATGTTAAGTTAAATATGAAAAAAACCCGATTTTCCCACTCATTAGCTTTGCAAAATTTCCTATTAAATTAAGAACATTATGGAATGACACAATATAAAGATAAAAAGCACATATTGTGTAAAATGCCAGTTAAGTAATACGGTGTAATCTTTAATTGATCGTTTTTAGATAGTCTATACAGTTAAACATATAACTCATTAACGGGTGGCATATTTTATTGTAGTAAAAATACATTACTAATGTGTTGACATAAGTTCTAAATTTTAAAAAGAGTTTGAAATTGTTAAAAATCAAAATTGACCTTTAGTAGAACATATTGGTGGTGTTTCCCAACTGCCAGTATCAAGGCAGCTTATTGACCCGTTCCCATCATATCCTCTATCACAGACCAGAGAAGCGATTGATCCAAACGTAGTTGTGTCATAGTGCAATTTACCATTGGTCACGTTAGATGGAGACCCACAGTCTGAATTATGGTTAAATTCATTAGATACATTTAGAATTGATATCATGACGTTACACATAGGTGGGAAAATGGTTTATATTTATTGTAACGATTAAATAGAATACCTAGAATGAAAGAATTCCTCAGTATATTTTATTGACAGCGAGTGGTCCATGCGTGAAACTATAGCCCAATTTACTAAGAATAGCTTCTAAAAATATTGTTTCCAAAAATCATTATTTTATCTGTAGCGTACTCTTATCAGACATGAAGTTGTATTTCCCTGTTCAGGATTTCAATTCTTAAGCATTGTCCAAGTGGTACATTTCTGAATGGCTACATACAAAAGTCTAATAAAACGGGAAACCAAAAGCCGTGTCCGCGAAGCGGATCCTGACTTTGTCTTACCCGTCTATAGACGAGTAGAGCTAAAATAAAATCAAATAAAAAACAACAATTCGAAAATCTATAGATTTTCAAATCAGTGAAATTTTCAGTTTCATGTCTAGTTGGACGCCGCCATTTTCAATGTAACACTATGATAAAAGGCGGGGTATTCCGAAAAAGGGACGATCGCAGCTTTTTGGCTTAGAAATAATAGTCAAGGTGTTTCGAGTGAAAACCGAAGTGGTGCATGAAATACCGAATGACAGCTTTAAAATGGAAATGTAAAGTAAAATATGAACGATTTTTTAACCGATTTTCCCGATTATAGGCTTTGCAAAATTTCTTATTAAAGTAAGAACATGATAGAATGACACAATATAAAGATGATAATGAAAAACACATATTGTGTAAAATACCAGTCAAGTAATACTGTGTGATCTTTAATAGATCGTTTTTAGATAGTCTATACAGTTATACATATAACTCATTAACGTGCAGCATATTTTATTGTTACAGTAGTAAAAAATAGATTACTAAATTAAATGTATTGACAAAATTTCTAAATATCATACAAAGTTTGAAATTGATAAAAATTAAAATTGACCTTTAATAGAACATTTTGGTGGTGTTTCCCAACTGCCAGTGTCAAGGCAGCTTATTGTACCGTTTCTATCATATCCTCTATCACAGACCAGAGAAGCGGTTGATCCAAACGTTGTTGCGATATAGTGCAATTTACCATTGGTCACGTTTAATGGAGACCCACAGTCTGAATAATGGTTAAATTCATTAGATACATTTAAAATTGATATCATGACATTAAACATAGCTAGGGAAATGGTTTACATTCATTGTAACGATTAACTAGAATAATCAAAAGAAAATCAAATAAAAAAGAACGATTCAAAATTTCAAATATCTAAAGATTTTCAAATCAGTGAAACTTTCAGTTTCATATCTAGTTGGGCGCCGCCATTTTCAATGTAACATTCATGATATGAGGCGGGGTATTCCGATAACGGGACGATCACAGCTTTTTGGCTTAAATGTAATCGTCCAGGTGTTTCGAGTGAAAACAGAAGTGGTGCATGAAATACCTAATGACAGCTTTAAAACGGAAATGTTAAGTTAAATATGACAAAAAATTTAACCGATTTTCCCACTCATAAGCTTTGCAAAATTTCTTATTAAAGTAAGAACATTATAGAATGACACAATATAAAGATGGTAATAAAAAGCACATATTGTGTAAAATACCACTAAGGTAATACGATATAATCATTAATTGATCGTTTTTAGATAGCCTACACAGTTAAACATATAACTCATTAACGGGCGGCATATTTTATTGTAGTAAAAAAATACATTACTAATGTATTGACAAAAGTTCTAAAAATTAAACAAAGTTTGAAATTGATAAATTGACCTTTAATAGAACATCTTGGTGGTGTTTCCCAACTGCCAGTGTCAAGGCAGCTTATTGACCCGTTCCCATTATATCCTCTATCACAGACCAGAGAAGCGATTGATCCAAACGTTGTTGCGTCATAGTGCAATTTACCATTGGTCACGTTTAATGGAGACCCACAGTCTGAATAATGGTTAAATTCATTAGATACATTTAGAATTGATATCATGACGTTAAACATATGTGGGAAAATGGTTTATATTTATTGTTACGATTAACTAGAATACCTAGAATGAAAGAATTCCTCAGTATATTTTATTGACAGCGAGTGGTCCATGCGTGAAACTATAGTCAAATTTACTAAGAAAAGCTTCTAAAAATTTTGTTTCGAAAAATCATTTTTTAACTGTAGCGTATCATGTCACTCTTATCATGAAGTTGTATTTCCCTGTCCAGGATTTCAATTCTTAAGCATTGTCCAAGAGGTACATTATGAATGGCTACATATAAAAGTCTAATAAAACGGGAAACCAAAGGCCGTGTCCGCGAAGCGGATCCTGACTTTGTCTTACCCGTCTATAGACGAATAGAGCTAAAAGAAAATCAAATAAAAAACAACAATTAAAAAATCTATAAATTTTCAAATCAGTGAACTTTTCAGTTTCATATCTAGTTGGACGCCGCAATTTTCAATGTAACACTCTGATAAAAGGTGGTGTATTCCGATAACGGGACGATCGCAGCTTTTTGGCTCAAAGATAATCGTCAAGGTGTTTCGAGTGAAAATAGAAGTGGTGCATGAAATACCGAATGACAGCTTTAAAATGGAAATGTTAAGTAAAATATGAACGATTTTTTAACCGATTTTCCCGCTCATAGGCTTTGCAAAATTTCCTTTTAAAGTAAGAACATGATAGAATGACACAATATGAAGATGATAAGGAAAAACAAATATTCTGTAAAATAACAGTCAAGTAATACTGTGTAATCTTTAATAGATCGTTTTTAGATAGTCTATACAGTTATACATATAACTCATTAACGTGCAGCATATTTTATTGTAGTAAAAAAATAGATTACTAATGTATCGACAAAAGTTCTAAATATCATACAAGGTTTGAAATTAATAAAAATTGAAATTGACCTTTAATAGAACATCTTGGTGGTGCTTCCCAACTGCCAGTGTCAAGGCAGCTTATTGTACCGTTTCTATCATATCCTCTATCACAGACCAGAGAAGCGGTTGATCCAAACGTCGTTGCGATATAGTGCAATTTACCATTGGTCACGTTTAATGGAGACCCACAGTCTGAATAATGGTTAAAATCATTAGATACATTTAAAATTGATATCATGACGTTAAACATAGGTGAGGAAATGGTTAACATTCATTGTAACGATTAGCTAGAATAATCAAAAGAAAATCAAATAAAAAAGAAAATTCAAAAATCTAAAGATTTTCAAATCAGTGAAACTTTCAGTTTCATATCTAGTTGGGCGCCGCCATTTTCAATGTAACACTATGATATGAGGCGGGGTATTCCGATAACGGGACGATCGCAGCTTTTTAGTTGAAAAGTAATCGTCCAGGTGTTTCGAGTGAAAACAGAAGTGGTTCATGAAATACCGAATGACAGCTTTAAAACGGAAATGTTAAGTAAAATATGAAACAAATTTTAACCGATTTTCCCACTCATAAGCTTTGCGAAGTTTCTTATTAAAGTAAGAACATTATAGAATGACAAAATATAAAGATGATTATAAAAAATACATATTGTGTAAAACACAAGTTAAGTTATACGGTGTAACCTTTAATTGATCGTTTTTAGATAGCCGACACAGTTAAACATATAACTCATTAACGGGCGGCATATTTTATTGGAGTTAAAAAATACATTACTTATTTATTGACAAAAGTTCTAAATTAAAAACAAAGTTTAAAATTGATAAAAATTAAAATTTACCTTTAATAGAACATCTTGGTAGTCTTTCCCAACTGCCAGTGTCAAGGCAGCTTATTGACCCGTTCCCATCATATCCTCTATCACAGACCAGAGAAGCGATAGATCCAAACGTTGTTGCGTCATAGTGCAATTTACCGTTTGTTATATTTAATGGAGACCCACAGTCTGAATAATGGTTAAATTCATTAGATACATTTAAAATTGATATAATGACGTTAAACATAGGTGGGGAAACGGTTTACATTCATTGTAACGATTAACTAGAATACCTAAAATGAAAGAACTCCTCAGTTTATTTTATTGACAGCGAGTGGTGCATGCGTGAAACTATAGCCAAATTTACTAAGAATAGTTTCTAAAAATTTTGTTTCCAAAAATCATTTTTTTTATCTGTAGCGTTCTCTTATTATGAAGTTGTATTTCCCTGTTCAGGATTTCAATTCTTAAGCGTTGTCCAAGAGGTACATTTCTGAATGGCTACATATAAAAGACTAATAATACGGGAAACCAAAAGCTGTGTCCGCGAAGCGGATCCTGACTTTGCCTTACCCGTCTATAGACGTGTAGAGCTAAAAGAAAATCAAATAAAAAACAACAATTCAAAAATCTATAGATTTTCAAATCTGAAATTTTCAGTTTCACATCTATTTGGACGCCGCCATTTTCAATGTAACACTATGATAAAAGGCGGGGTATTCCGATAACGGGACGATCGCAGCTTTTTGGCTTAAAATAATCGTCAAGGTGTTTCGAGTGAAAACAGAAGTGGTGCATGAAATACCGAATGACAGCTTTAACAAAGAAATGTTAAGTAATGTTAAGTAAAATATGAACGATCTTTTAACCGATTTTCCCGCTCATGGGCTTTGCAAAATTTCTTATTCAAGTAAGAGCATTCTGGAATGACACAGTAAAGCTGATAATAAAAAACACATCTTGTGTAAAATACCAATTAAGTTTTACGGTGTATTCTTTAACAGGTCGTTTTTAGATAGTCTATACATTTATACATATAACTCATTAACGTGCGGCATATTTTATTGTAGTAATAAAGTGCATTACTAATGTATTGACAAAAGTTCTTAATATTAAACAAACTTTGAAATTGATAAAAATAGAAATTGACCTTTAATGGAACATCTTTGTTGTATTTCCCAACTGCCAGTGTCAAGGCAACTTATTGTCCCGTTTCCGTCATATCCTATATCACAGACCAGAGAAGCGATTGATCCAAACGTTGTTGCGTCATAGTGCAATTTACCATTGGTCACGTTTAATGGAGACCCACAGTCTGAATAATGGTTAAATTCATTAGATACATTTAGAATTGATATTATGACATGACGTTAATATAAAAGACTAATAATACGAACCAAAAAGCTGTGTCTCGCGATTCTTGAAACTTTGCCCTTTACCACCGTCTATAAGACGTACGTGTAAGAGCTAAAAGAGAAATCAAATTAAAAACAACAATTCAAGAAATCGTGATCTATAGATACATTTAGAATTGATATCATGACGTTTTGCAAAAAATTTCTTATTCAAGTAAGAGCATTCTATGAATGCACAGTAACAGCTGATATATAAAAAAACAACATCTTGTTAAAATACCAATTAAGTACGGTGTATCTTAACAGGTACGTTTTTAGATAGTCTATACATTTATACAAATAACTTCTATACGTGCAGCATATTTATGTAGTAATAAGTGCAATACTAATTATGACAAAATCTTAATTATTAAACAAACTGAAATTGATAAACAATAGAATTGACGCTTTAATGAACATCTTTTTCGTATTCCCAACTGCCAGTGTCAAGGAACTTATTGTCCCGTTTCGTCATATCCTATATCACAGACCAGAGAACGATTGATCAACGTTGTTTCTCATAGTGCAATTACCATTGGTCACTAATGAGAGACCACAGTCTGAATAATGGTTAAATTCTTAGATACATTTAGAATTGATATCATGACGTTACAAGAATACCTAGAATGAAAGAATTCCTCAGTATTTCTTATTGACAGTGAGTGGCACACGCGTGAAACAATCGTTCAATTTACCAAAAATATCTGCTAAATGTTTTGTTTCTAGAATATTTTATCCTATTTCCGTATACTATTTGAATGAAAACAGCAACATTTCACAGTTATTTTCTTTGAAAACATCATCAGCTATAGCTTGATAGACTTTATTTGTGTTTCATATATACACGTCAAAATGTATATTATTTCAGGTTTAAAACCGACAAATAAAGTACACATATCAATATACTTTCGAAATGTTGGAAAATTGATATCTCACTCGATCTTCTGCCTCGCGAGATTTCCGATTTCAAACGTTGCCCGTTGCAAAAATTACTGCCTCAGAGAGCTATTTCAACATGATATTCTGTATTAAATATCTATCAAACAATCTAACAGAAAAGAAATATTTATTATGACAATATAAAGAATATACAAACCCTTTCGATATATAGTGTTTGATGAAGGAAAAACGGTCTATGAAAAACAACTTAACAATTGGATCACTTTTAAATGTTATATAAGTTTAAATGGCAATAATGGCAAATGATAACGAACCTCCTACCACTGATATCATTATTTCTATTTGTATGTAGAATTATTTGAATAGAAAAATCAATCATAAAATCCTTGGTTTGTCAATGTAAAAACGTAATAGAGATAATACTATGAATGGCGGAACTTTTGCTGAGTCATTTCAATTCTTGTTTTTCTTATTTGTATGTTTGTTTGTTTTGTTTCTTGTTGTTTTTTGTTGATGATTTTTTTAATGTTATGACCTATTTTATACATTTGTTTGCTTATAACAAGTTGGTCAATCATTATCGCCACCTTCCTTGGAATACCAAGTAAGCAACATCTCTGTCAAATCAACCATCACAGAGAACTTGCGCCTGGCTGGCAATATGATCTAACCAGAAGCAGCTTAGCAGTTCCAGCATTGTTACTTATAAATAAATATCTACTCTTTTACTTTTCAAGTGGGTGGGGAATACAAAAATAATCTCTATTTTTTCGCATTCATAATCTAATCTCTAAGTTTTTTATGTAAATTAACACAAAGTTCTATTGTTCTCTATTGTATATATAGTTCAGTTGTTATATTATCATTTCAATTATGTATGTTTTAATTATAAAAGTACCTTTTATTTTGCATCTTGATTTTCCCCAGTTCCCAGTTTTTAGGCACTGAATTTTTTCGCGACTTGCCTTATAGCCCGGATCACATACAACTGTTGCTGTTGCCCCCATTGTCGATGTTGATGCATCGTCTAAGTTTATTTTCCCATTTGAGATATTTTCAACAACTCCGCAATCTGAAATTGTCAGAGTAACAATATCTCATTCTATGTTAAATTAAGTGTCACAAACTGAACACATTTGAAAAAATAAGGAGCAAGCAGATATAAAACAATTATTGATAAATATGACTTTCAATAAATAAAATAATTAATTAATTAATCAATTAATTGTAAATGGAAATGAATATGATTAGTATGTCCTATTTAAAAAAGAAACTATATGTAACTTAAACAACATGATAAACTAAATAACAGAAACACCTGAGTTAAAAAAAATGTGTTTACATATTTATAAATTAACAACGATTTAGAAGAGATACAATTGATATAAAAATAAGAAGAAAGAAAGTACTAAAGAGTAATACACAGCTATTTGCAAATGGTAAACAACTTATCTTTGTATTTTTTTAGTTATAATATATAATTTTTTTTATGCCTTACTTGTATACATCATTACGGGCCCGTATTAACAGTTGTTTTTGTTTGGCTTGACGTTACCGCACAAACAGGGTATAGGTCACATGGTGACGTTATAAGCCTATTAGGTATTGAGAGATAGATATCCCTAAAATAAGTGCCAGCTTTTACCAATGAAAACGTGTTTCTAAATGTGTATGTAGCCTCATTTGAGTAGGAAACACAGTCATAAAACATATTAAGATCTTTGGTTTTTCGTTTGCAAATTTGTCAATCATTTTTGTTTTCTTTGAATTCCTAATCAGTTACATATTATTGATCAGTTAAGTGATGAGCTTGTCCGTGATCTGCCTTGTGCCCTGTCCCGGTTTTGTTCGGGGTCCGTCTTGGATCCTTGCCATTAGTTCTTATTGCTGGGTCGTGCGGGGGTTGCGTTCATTAAATACCGCCTGTCCTTGTTGATCTTGTTTATTATATTTTAAATACATAATATAATATAATTCTACGAATGGGGAGACCTCATTTGCTGAGTCATTTCAAATCAAGTGTTCTTAAACGTTCTTTTCTTAAGTATTACTTTTTTGCCGTCTTAAAAACATTCTTTTGTTTATAATTTGCCGGTCGATCATGGTGACTAGCTTTGTTGGAATACTTATCTATAAGTTATTAATAACTTCTCCGCAATTAATAAATAAAAATCAGCAGTTGCACTGGATCGCCATAAGATCTAACCAGCAGCATCATAAAAACTTAGCATTGTTACTTATAAACAGATATTTTTGTTAATTGTTTTACATGTGAGAGTGGAAAGCAATCTCTGTTATCTTTTTGCATTTTTGTAAATATAATCTAATTAGGTTTCAAGTAAATTGACCTATAGTTATATTGTTTTGTATTGTATGAACATTTCAATCGGTATAATAAACACTTTTTATTATGTGTATCTTTTTTTAAAAGTACCTTTTATTTTGCAACTTGACTTTCCCCATTTCCCAGTTCTTAGGCACTTTATTTTTTCGCGACTTGCCTTATAGCCCGGATCACATTCAACTGTCGCTGTTGCCCCCATTGTCGATGTTGATGCATCGTCTAAGTTTATTTTCCCATTTGAGATATTTTCAACGGCTCCGCAATCTGAAATTGTTAGATTAAAAATAAGAAGTAACAATATCTCATTCTATTTTAAATACATAATATAATATAATTTATTTCTACGAATGGGGAGACCTCATTTCCTGAGTCATTTCAAATCAAGTGTTGTTAAACGTTCTTTTCTTAAGTATTACTTTTTTGCCGATTTTAAAACATTCTTTTGTTTATAACTTGTCGGTCGATCATGGTGACCAGCTCTCTTGGAATACTTATCTATTAGTTGTTTATAACTTCTCCGCAAGTAATCAAGAAAAATCAGCAGTTGCACTGGCTCGCCATAAGATCTAACTAGCAGCATCTTAAAAACTTTGCATTGTTACTTAAAAACAGATATTTTTGTTAATTGTTTTACATGTGAGATTGGAAAGCAATCTCTGTTATCTTTTTGCATTTTTGTAAATATAATCTAATAAGGTTTCAAGTAAATTGACCAATACTTACATTGTTTTGTATTTTATGAACATTTCAATCGGTATAGTAAACACTTTTAATTATGTGTATCTTTTTTTTGAAAAGTACCTTTTAGTTTGCAACTTGATTTTCCCCAGTTCCCAGTTTTTAGACACTGAATTTTTTCCCGGGTTGCCTTATAGCCCGGATCACATTCAACTGTCGCTGTTGCCCCCATTGTCGATGTTGATGCATCGTCTAAGTTAATTTTCCCATTTGAGATATTTTCAACGGCTCCGCAATCTGAAATTGTCAGATTAAAAATAAGAAGTAACAATAACTCATTCTATTTTAAATACATAATATAATGTAATTTATTTCTACGAATGGGGAGACCTCCTTTGCTGAGCCATTTCAAATCAAGTGTTGTTAAACGTTCTTTTCTTAAGTATTACTTTTTGCCGATTATAAAACATTCTTTTGTTTATAACTTGTCGGTCGATCATTGTGACCAGCTTTTTTGGAATACTTATCTATAAGTTGTTTATAACTTCTCCGCAAGTAATCAAGAAAAATCAGCACTTGCACTGGCTCGCCATAAGATCTAACCAGCAGCATCTTTACAAACTAATCATTGTTGCTTATAAACAGATATTTTTGTTAATTGTTTTTCACGTGAGATTGGAAAGCAATCTCTGTTATCTTTTTTTGCATTTTTGTAAATATAATCAAATTGTTTTGTATTGTATGAACATTTCAATCGGTGTAGTAAACACTATTAATTATGTGTATCTTTTTTTTTGAAAAGCACCTTTTAGTTTGCAACTTGATTTTCCCCAGTTCCCAGTTTTTAGGCACTGAATTTTTTCCCGGCTTGCCTTATAGCCCGGGTCACATTTAACTGTCGCTGTTGCCCCAATTGTCGATGTTGATGCATCGTCCAAGTTTATTTTCCCATTTGAGATTTTTTCAACGGCTCCGCAATCTGAAATTGTCAAAATTAAAACTAAGAAGCATCAATTACTCATTCTATGTAAAATAAAGAATAATAAATTGCCAATTTGCACAAATTCTAAAAATTAAAGAGCAAAAAGATATAAAACAAATATTGATAAGTATTAATTAATTAGTTAATTGTAAAAGCATATTTAAATAAATTTGATAATTATATCATATTGAAAAGAAACTATTTGTAACATACTGAACTAATTTATATAAATCCTTTTGTTTAAACAAATCAAAAACAATCTCGTCTACTAGATAGTTGTTATATACATCTGTATGCGTGTGATTCACAACTGATCTCTGTATATTATTAGTTATAAAACAGATGTATTGTTTGTAATATGGCCAAGTATAAATAGGTTTAACGTCAACGCACCAACACAGTATAGGCCATATTGTGACCATATGTAGTTCTCCGCGTTACATCGTATAGACGGAGAACTTTTGTCTCAACAGGTGCGATATCAAAACTGTAAAAACCAGTTTGGTCACGTGATAAGAGTCATTGACCGTGCGTACGTACGATTAGTGGTCAGTTGTACAGAGACTCTAGCTTGGTTACACGTCGTTTACTACATTAAAATTCAATAACTTTTGTGCAAAATGATGTTTATATATGTTTTATTTGTTATAATTAAAAGGCATGTCAGAACTGTTTCCGTTGTTCAGTATTTCTAGGAATAGTCGGGGCATTTCAATGTTAACGCATTGACTAGGCTACGGAAACACGTTTCCTCCTGTTTTTAAAAAAATATAAAAAGAAAAGATAGGGGTTTTTTCGTGGGCGGTCCGTATTCTGATGAAGAAATATACGTTTGTATTTTCGATTTCCGTCATGATTGAAAACATTCTAGCTTAACTTTAGAGGTTTTATCAGATTATTAACATGACGCAAATCGCATTTTCGATTGTAGCATGCTTATATTTATCTAATAGAACACATGATAAATGAGTGATTTATTCTTGGGTTATATAATTATATTGTGATAGAAAAGTATTATTGTAATTACGAATGTTTACTCCTCAGTTGTTTACTGGTGGAGGAATACCTTAGCATTATTTCATTACAAACAGGCACCTAAATAGAAAAACCGAAGTCCCGTAAAGTAGATACAGTTGTAAGCTTAAGCTTATTGTTCCTGTAAACTGTATATAATTTCACAACAACCAAGCTTCTAAACCACATACCACTGTCATTTCCTTATTTGTCACATAGTGAGAATGTATGTTGTTTGTTATAAATAGCTATCCCTTACCTTTTAATTCGCAACTTGGTTTCTGCCATTTCCCGTTTTCTAGGCAAACGATTTTCTTTTGAGTTGCCTCATACCCAGGATCACATTTTATAGTCGCTGAGGATCCTATTGTTGTCGACGATTTTTTGTTTAGCTTCACCTTGCCATTCCGAAAAGTTTTAATTGGACCACAATCTGATAATATTGAAATACAACGTCTGAAGAGTATATGCATTACATGAACAAGTTTTACAAAATGTATATAACAATGTTGAAAGCGTAGAGAAGAAGTTTAATTTTTCAGAAGAGAAAATTTGGAACACGTTTACTTACAATGGATAAATAAAGTAGGGATTTTTTTTTGTTGTTGTTGTTCCTTCTTCTCTTGTTGTTGTTGTTTTTTTCTCTAAGTCGCCAGATGATTTGAGAATTGTTTTTAGAAATTTTACAAAATATAGAACAGGAGAATGGCATTGAAATAATATTTTTCTAGATAAATACCAATAATGACGGAGTTGATCCAGTTAACTTGCGGTTTTATGACTGCAATAGATTGAAGCTGTGATGAGCAAGGATCAGACGATGTGACTGCAAGTCCTTGCAGAATTATTTCTTTTCTCTTGGATCCAAACACAGGACTTCCTGGCTAAAATTTTCATAAAATATATCTTTACAATTGATTTCTTAGCAACTGGGTGCAATATCCTTCCGCTGAAGTCAGGTCACAGGCGGTTGCACCGAGGCACGAATTTTCACATCATTCAGAACTGACAGTACATCTTTGTTTTAAAATTCTGAATTATGAATACTTGTTATAAATTAGTTCTAGTTCTATAAAAACCATTTCGTATGATATGGTAAATTGATAATCACAGCAAGAATTTTTATGCGACTCACAAAAAGGAAGAAAATAAAGAACCTTGTTCAAAACGTACAAGTCGCCTCAGCCATTTACTTCATCTACACAACTAATTAGCAAATCTTAGATGTCTTAGATGTGATCATCTTAAAAAAAAACATCTCTAAAAAAGTAAGTCTGAAAACACATCTCTTATTTTTTTCTCAGGATAAAAGAATGCATTTTAAGATTTCGAAACAGACATTAGTAATACGTTTTCTTTAGACTTTTGCAAATTCTTATAGGATCTTCCTTAATTAATCACTACGTTTTTACACGATTATTGTTATAATACGATTAGAGTGATTACTGTAAAATAACACAATTTCAATTTTAACGTACTAGACATCTAGCTTTTTTATTCATGTTGCCTTGAACACATATATGTGTCTCGTCAAAATTACCATCAATTTCTTCCTTCTCACATTGAGTTCCTCTGACAAAATCGACCTTATTTGCAATGATTTTATCTGTAATGGATACATTTATAAGCAAAGTGATCGGGAATAGAATCGTAAAACAAAGCATTTATCAAAACTTCATTGTTGAAAACTACATATCTATTCCAAAAGTTCATCAATCTCAACATGTTGAGGGGTTAAACCCTTTTATCAAGGAGTTTGTTGTTTATTTTCTGAATCGTATATAAATATTTTTTTTCTTCGACTATGTTTCGTTGTTGATAACAAATGTATACTTTGAATAACAAAGCTTGCATTTATTTAATTACTTAAGTTCTAGCGTTATCTAAATACATTAACGAACTAAGATATCTAAATGTTGTTGAATAAAAGTTATTGTTTTTTTTTACAATTTTATTGAACAGACTTTATACGTATATCTTATCCTCTCGCATTTATTATTTTTATAATTTACCAGAATCGTCTCGATTGTACAGATGAAACTTGTACTTTGAAGAGGGTAGCATAGAGTCAGCAAGTTGTGTGAATTTTGTTTTTGTTGCTTCTGTTTCCTTTTCAATCTTAAGAAGGATAAATAGCTTTCCAACAGAGTCCTTAAATAGATGAATAAATGTCCAACATTGAAATAAAATTTCCATAGCATACGTCAATATTTACCAAACAAAAAGAAAAAGCGAGGAAAGAAAAAAAAACAGGGTAAGGAAAGACTATTTAATATCAATTACATACCTGTAGCAGATGCAGTTAGTCCTTACTGAAAATGTGCCTTTAACTCCTAGAATATGTGAATAGGACCTATTGTTTTCAGTTTAAGATACTAATGAAAAATGTCAGTGTGCGTGATATGTTCATTTTACGAATGGTCTCAAATGCACCTCTACGATTATCGATTTCAACCTTATGACTTCACTTTTTTCAACTAAACAAATTCACGTTTTATGATCTCACTTCCATGAATTGAAATCGCGTTGTCACGTTGATAACTATATAGTTTAAGCATCTGTTTCAAGCCAATTTGCAATAAGGATCTCGTGAAGTTAAACCGTGATATAAAAAGTTGACAAAAGTTGAACCTCAAGACGTATATCTCTAACAAGTGATATTTTATTCATAAAGTTGTAATAGTGAACGTCAAATTTAGTGCGTTCATAAGCTGTTAGACAACTGGTTTTTTGTTCGATTTGATTAGATGTTTTAACACAAATCAATTCATTTTATTCACAAAGACATTTCTAAGTATTTCTAAGTATTTCTTAATCATCTTGTGCATATCTTTTTGTTTTAAGCATTTAAGTTGTTCTATTTTAAAAATTTAAATTGTATATGTGTATGCTTTTAAACCTCAGTGGAGACTCATTAAAATGTAACACATATTTGTTACAGTGCAAATGTATTTAGAAAGATCGCCAATTGTCATAATGTTAAAGGTGTTTTTTTTTTTAAATGAAACATCAATAAATTTCAAATTTTACACAAACTCCTCTTACATTAAAATATAACACTTACCCGATCTTCGGCAATAACCTTTCTTGAACCGTCTTTGTAAACTGTAATGCTGTATTTTGTAAGCTTGCTAAAATTAAGAAAACACATGACTTTTATTTAAAGTATATAATAATTCATTCTATTAAATTCTAAGGCTTTTTCACATGTTACTTGTCAATTAAAATTTGTTTTATGCTTATCTTGGCAGGCCATATAATCATTCCATCCAATATTCGTAATCAATCGTTGTAGAGAATGTATCAAGTGCCGTGTGAAAGATGTATAAGTCACCATCTACCTTTACTTCAGAGTTGTTTTCTAATCCTTCAGTGATCATTGATTCCAAAACAATTAGTGCGGACGATTGAATACCGCTTAAGCCGGTTCTAGGCTACGTGAGGGATGTTGCACTTTCCCCCCAAGAACAGGCTCATTCAAACCAAGTCTACAATACCATGCAATTATGCTGCTTTATTTCCTTCCAATGAAAATCCCCTTTCCCAGACAGTTAAGATGCATTTGTAATATATAAATTAGACAACGATAAATGATCATCAAGCAATAAATATATGATAATTCAATATGGGAAAGGACACTCAATGACATTAGCTTTCAAACTTTTCTGTCTAATCCCAAAATGTATCGTGTAAATATTATTAATCATTATTTATTATTATATCGTACATTATGTAAATATATCGAATAAATATGTTTAAACAAATATGATATAATGTCTTACATTTTCTTATCAATGCAGTCAGCAAGCGTAAGAACCCATTCATCAGAGAGTTGTACACCTGCGCACACCTCGTCATTGCCGAGTTTTATATACAGTAACCAATTTTGTACTGCCTTCAAATTGCCAGCTTTTTGGGGTCGTATCTCTTGTGCCCCGACGCTGTTGTTTATTTGCCCTGCAGATATCATATATAAGAATATTATGTGTGTTTCTAAATGATAATATTCGTAAATTTATTGTTAATGCATGTAATACCAGACAAAGTTAGTTGTATTCATAAATTTCAGACTTCACATATTTTTATGTTTATATATTATATATTGTTAACATATTTGTCATCATAAACTTAACAAGTGAAGCTAACAATTGCAATAAATACAAAATATGTACATATTTCACGTTGTAACACATCTCAATATAATTAAACTTTTTATCTTTATTAACATATAAAATACTCATTCAAAACGTAAATTTCTGTCGGATTATCCATCAAGTAATTGAGAGCTGTGAAATAAAAATAATATTATTATTCTAAAGTAAATTACTTTCTCATCTATAAGACGAAAATATAAGTATTCGTATAGTAATTATCATTAACAATGAATGTACTTACATAGAATGCACATAACAAGTATGTAAAGAACACCCATTTTGTCCATACGTGTGTATAAACTAATGAATTAATGCCACAGAGTCTCCACACAGCATTATTTATACCTTCATTGCAGCAAGTCCGCAGAATAAAATGCCTTATAGCAATTTTTTTTATCAGATAACTGCTTTTAAATTGAACTAATTATCTTTTTTACATTTATTCTTGCGACATATCAAATTCTACAAAGGTTCAATTTTCGGACACAATTAAGTTGAGTTCACACTAAACTTCCCACCCTTGTGCACTTCTAGTGCACTAAGAGCTGAACTAAAATGCCTTATAGCAATTTTTTTTTATTAGATAACTGCTTTTAAATTGAACCAATTATCTTGCGACATATCAAATTCTACAAAGGTTCAATTTTCGGACACATACAGTAAAGTTCACACAAAACTTCCCACCCTTGTGCACTTCTTGTGCACTAAGAGCTGAACTAGATGTGCACACCTTGTGAACTTCTAGTGCACTAGACAATATGACCAGGCTGGCCAGGGAAGGTGATACCTAAATGGTTTATTGGATAATTGCAGGGGGCATCCATTGTAAAGCCGCTGTAAGAAAAAAAACTTTGGGAATATATGGCCAATTCATGAATATAAATATTTCAGCAGTTTTATTAAACATTTTAGGTGGTATCATATTAAAGTTAAAATTCATTTTGTTATTGTAATCATATTTTTATTAACCAGTATTTAACTGTAAGTGTAAAATAATACCCCTTAAAATCAAATTTATAGAATTAATAAGGTTATATTTAAATATGCTCCGTAATGGATAATTAAATAAGTGTTTTAAAGCTTTTTTTATAATGGCCATGTTTTTCAATTTTTCTAGTGTACACATGGGAAACTCACTGTGATATTTCTGGCCCAATTGATTTAGTTTATTATAATGTTACAACATATTTTTTTTCATAATCTCAAACAAATCAAGGAAAGGTTTATATTTAAGCTAAAATATTATTTCTATAATATATAACTTAGAGACAATTCCTCATGTTCAATATTGAAAGAGAATATTAATACATTGATTTAAAAACAATCAATTTACAGTGATAATTTAGTATAACTGTGTAATGCTTGCATATGTTTTAAAGATATAAATAATAAGAATATTATCCATAAAATAAATAAATTTGATAACTTTATTCATGATTTCATGTGTAAAGGGAATACTTTTATTGAAGAGGAAAATCTCAAGTCATGCTGTGTATTGGTAGAGGGACTATTTTCATTATACTACTCTCCTGCTGGTTAGTGGGCCTCAGGGTAAATAACAAAGAACAGTCAATTTTGCAGATTATAAGTATGCGTTTTCTCAAAATGAATGTTAGTCATAAGCCTGGGATTCTTCAGGCGTTGGCACCCAGGCTAGTAAGTCATATAGATTAATGACCAAAATTTTTGTATAATCAAATATACAAAAAAATCGTAATGGCATAATGCATTTTGGATATTATCGTCTCCAAAGCGGTATTTTTTTTTACAAAATACGTGTAAGACACATATTTAAATGACTTTAATTTTTGTATAATCAAATGTAAAAAATAATCATAATGACATAGTAGTAGTTGTAGTTTCTTCTTTTATTCCATTAGGCAATATGCCCATGATGGCATTACAAGCATGTTATAAATGGCGAACAATGACAAGCAAAGTGTACCTTAAACACCAATAATTGGAGAAGTTCGAACATGAATATAACAAACATAAGAACATAAACACACGCGCACGCATTCACACTCGCACGCTGGCACACACACATGCAACCACATCTAGTAGTTCACTTTGTGCACTCCTAGTGCACTTTGTTTAACCTTTAGTGTGAACTAATCTGTAAAGTGTCATTTAATATATAGTAAACGTTGCAACAATGTTTATTTTACACACCAACGTGGACAGTACCTTTAGCTTACCACGTTCGTTAGTGCAATTAGTTTTATACATTCTATTCCACTGCCAATTATTAATCTTTTTTAGGTTTTGTTTCTTTTTTTAATATGTAAATAAAAATTTCCTTGACCATTTCGTTTTGAGTTCAAACCCCGTCAAAAGCAAGCCATGTTTTCTTGAGCAACAACCTTTACACCATTGCTTAATAATGGTTGGTTTCAGGAATGGGCTCGAAAGTGTTTCTCAATTATTTATTGGATGAATTGCGAATTTGAAATATAACGCTGTCCCTGTGTTTAACTAAACATTGAAAAAAATTGGTACCGACTTCGGTTTAGAAAATCAATAATATGATGTAAAAACAAATAAACCAAAAATGATATTTCAAAGAAAGGGTAGGTGCATTACTAAATTTAACTTCTGTGACATATATATATTTTGATAGGGGCACCTGAGGCTAAATTGTTAATGGAACTAGACTTCAAACCACTTGCTCCTCACCGCTATTGGTATGGGTTCAAAAACTGCCAGAGACATTTGATTCATTCACGCTAGGAAGTTATCAGAATATCGGTGGTTTTACTCAGGTACCGGCTCTCGCAGAAATAGGGCACGAAAGGACAACCGAGGTCTTTCTCCACCAGTAAAGCTGCAACATCGCTATTGTGCGATGTAAGCACTAACCACAAAAGAAAATAGTTAATATAAAAGCAGAGACAAGTGTAATTTTTTGTTAAATAAATCTTTATATGACTCCCTAAGGCATTTAAAAATAAATAAATAATAATAAAAATATATATATGAGCCCCGTCATGACAAAACCAACATAATGCGTTTGCGACCAGCATGGAGCCAGACCAGCCTGTGCATCCACGCAGTCTGATCATGATCCATGCTGTTCGCTGACAAACGCTATTACAAGTAAAGAAACAAAAGCGAACAGGATGGATCGTCTGGTCTGGATCCATGCTGGTTGCCAACCCATTATATAGGTTTTGTTGTGACGCGGCTCATTTTGAGAACTGGTTAACAACTTATTTATTACTACTTTGTAACAAGATATTGAAACATTGGTTTCAATTATTGTAAAAATGAATAAATATATTGAAAAATCGTATTCATATGACGATATATAGTTCCAAATTTGTCTACTCTGGTACTATACATATAAGACTTTAACTCATACTTAGAGACAACCAACTTATATATTGCTACCTTGCTTACAAACACTGACATAAGATCTCATATATTGTAATTGTGGACTAATGTAGTTGCTTTATAATGTAACCATAGCCATGTATATTGTAATAAATATGATATGCTGATATAATTGTCTATGTCAGTCGTTGGTATTTTCTTAAATATTTCGGCAATATTATATCACGTTTCCAAAATTCCAAAAAGATTTATTCGAAGGTAAAGGTGAGTTTTCCAAATATATTGTTAAGTCCACTACAGATAAGTTTAAAGCATTATCAAACGTTTGTCACTACATTCAATCAACTGATTAAGCCATTAGTCTCATATGATATTGATATCTAAGGTAACACACGTGGTCAGCAATGATATGCATTGTTCTTAATAATCATTTTTAAAGCCGTCTATGTAAATTACTTTCGAGTCCACTTCCTGGAACCAACCAGTTCTGGTATCATATGAAGTGACATGGTTGTGTACCGTGTAGGGCTCGAACTCATGATTTCTGGGTTGGGAGGCAGGCACGTTAAGCATTAGACCACCGCTCATCTTAAATAATATTAGTATAATTTCATACAATCTTTGAATTTTTTAATGAAGATATTAGCAATACATTAAAAAATAAACATAAACTGTTATATCTAAATACATATAATAATTTAACAATTTCATGATCTTACAAATATATTAATATGAACAATTGACCAAAATGTATTGTGTTAACTATTTTAGCGTAGGTTGGAATATTAACCTGCGGATATGATAAATAATACATAAGAAAGCAAAACAAATGCTTTCAATATTGACCTAATTAAAAAAAGAAAGCCTTAAACAAAGTAATATCAAGGACTAAAAAGTCATTTTATAAATAAAGAAAAAGTATCAATTAAACAACTCAACTTTGTTCATTTCATACTAATTATCACGACAGAAGTCAAACGCGGCCTGTTCATTTCTCTTTTATTAAGTACATGCAGTAAATAAATATTTCGCAAAGTATGCTTTAAATAATTTAAATAACATTAATTACAAAAATATTCAGTTTTATATGCAAAGTAAATTACAATAAATTTGTCAAACGCAATAACGATGAATATGTCAGCGGCCTGGCTTATTATTTTTTTTACATATTTCTGTATTTTAATAATTTAACAAATTGTTCCTTGCATAATAAAACATATAACATTTAAAACAAAGCAAGTAAAAATACATTATAACAATTTAACATAAAGAATTTTAGTCTATCATAGTGAGATACATAATGTGCTATTTACAGTCAACTTAACTTGAAGACATTGCCTTTTGTTAAGTTATAAATTTAAATTATTCATT